CTGGATCTGTTTTAATACGTTTGAACCTCAACAAAGAATGAGTTTTAATCTTGATCTTTTTCCTTTCAGAAATCATCTTGGGTCTTCTGTAAATTTGTGGATGTAAATAGGAACCTGCGGGAAGGGTACTACCTGAATTCATCTACCAACAGCAACTAAGAGACAGACCCTTTCTGAGCCAAAAAATGCCCAATTATATTCTTTCCTCTGAGCATTGACTAGCTACTCGCCTTGCAGCGACCTTGTTCTACAGCATAATGATAAAATAAGCAGCCTCTGGATCCAGACAACTTTACATTTAAAGCTCTGCCCTGTTATTTTCCCAGTGATGATCTTGTGAAATTTACTCAACACTTTTGTGCCTTAGTGGCTCCCATCAGTGAAACAGGACTGATAACAGTCACACTTTTCTAATATGTGGTTGTGAAGATTAAATGCTTTAACACATGTTAATCCCTGTGCCTAGCACATAGTGAGTGTTTTTTTCACACCATTATTGTAACATTGGAAACAAGGTAGCACTTATTGTTTCCTTGTTTTCAATGTTATAATAATGGTGCGAAAAAAATCTTATAGGTAGGTGTCATGTGCCTCCTTAATTATTTCCTTGAGGCAAATACCAGAAAAGGAATTGTAGTCAAGTGGCATGCACAATTTGTCCCCCAGAAACATTTACTAGTTTGCACCAGAGGGCCAGCTCTCTTGCACCTTCACCAACAAATAACATTAAAAAAAAAATTAAGCTTTAATAGTTTGATAGACAAAAAGGGTATGCTACTTTAATATATATTTCTTTAGTAACTATTAGTGAGGGTAAATTTTTTACTATGGTAAATGTCTCAGTCATCTAGTGCTGCTCTAACAGAAATACCACAAGTGGATGGCTTTAACAAAGAGAAGTTTAATTCTTCACAGTCCAGTAGGCTACAAGTACAAATTCAGGGTGTCAGCTCCAGGGCAATGCTCTCTCTGTTGGCTGTACAGGAAGTTCCATGTCATCAGTCTTCCTTTGGTCTGGGAGCTTCTCTGCACAGGAACCTCAGGTCCAAAGGATGCGCTCTGCTCCCAGCACTGCTTTCTTGGTGATGTGAGGTTGCCATGTGTCTCTGCTCACTTCTCTCTTTTATATCTCAAAAGAGATTGCATTAAGACATTAATCTTGTCAACCTCATCAGTATAACCTCATCACATTGATAGAATTTATAACACATGAGGAGATCACATATAACCTCATCATAGTGATAGAGTTTACAACACATAAGGAAATCACATCAGATAACACAATCACACAATACTGGGAATTGTGACCTAGCCAAGTTGCTACCCACATTTTTGGGGGACACAATTCAATCCATGACAGTAAACTTTTAATTTCTTATGGATAGCTATGCTTTTAGTCCATTTTTGTTTTTATTGCTTTAAAAGAACTCTTTGAATTTGTAGTCACAAATGCCTTTATTGCTGTTCAGAAAGAAAGGGAATTTAGCTTATTAATTTTCTGTAAGTCCATCTTTCTCATGAGCCACATGAACTTATCATCCTGTTGAAACTAAAGTGTAATTTAAAAACTGCAAAGTAGAATGAAGTGTCAAAGTAGAATGAGGGCTTTTCTAGGTAACATAAGTCAGGGAAATACTTTTGAATTAAATATTTGGGAATGGAAACCAGAAAACATTTTGCCTTCTATTCTATGGATAAGAAATACAAATTTTTATTGTACATATATGAGTTCTAGGATTTCCTTTCTCTTGATTTCAGAGTCATAATGTTCCGTTATTATACTAGTTAAGTTCCAAGCCTTTAATCTGACTTTATCAGCCATTGAGTGAATGAACAAATACTTACAATATAGAGGTTAGCTACAGGTTTTATCCTTGCTTCTCCTTTTTTCTCTTATTGCTTTTGTTTTGATCTTATTGTCACCCAAAGCAGGTCCTGCTTTGTGCAGGTTCTTGTCAATAAAGACACACTGAGGTGAGGAGGGAGGAAGAGCATTTATTGCAAGCCTGCAGGCAAGGAGCAAGGAGGTGCATACCCCAAATCAAGCTTCCTGAACAAGGGGAGGCAGAACCTACGTAGGTTATCATGGCATGTAGGCTCAGTAAGACAAATTGCACTTTTTTCTTTGGCATGTTGTCTAGTAAACTGGGTTTGACTGGATTGAGCCACACCCAGTGCTTTGAGGACAATGAACAGGAGGGGCAGGTTCCACTTGGTCTGAGCAGCTCCCAATGGAGCCACACCCATCGCCATCACCCAAGGCTTTGTTTGCTAATGGACAGGAGGAGCAGGTAAGCTCCTCCTAGCTGCGCTGGCTATCAATATCAAAATTTCTTTATGTGGCTTTTAAATTTTAGTTTTAAATATTTATAACTCTTTGGGGCTTAAATTTATATTAAAAAAAAAGTTAATCAATGGATTAGTTTTCTCCTGTGAGATTTTGGGGACTGGAAGGGATAGCTCTTTCAGTTAAAACACATACACACACACACCAATGCATTCTAATCAATTTTTTGGGGAAACTAAACCTTATTCAAGAATTCATTTGAGAGAAAATTCATGAAAGATTCAAGAAATGCTGAAAAACAAAACTAGTGAAGGGGAAAAGCCTGAACAGATATTAAAATATTGCAAAACTGGACTTTTAAAATTGTATACGTATAAATATATATACATATGAATATATATGTGCATATATACATATATATATATATATATATACTTTGAACTTAATCTTTCTCTCAACAATTATCTCAACTACTTCTGTGGTATATAACTTGAAAATGAAGATTGAATATTACGTCATTGGAGGGACTTTGGGGTCTTGAATTTGTGGTGTCTCCCCTAGTGACATTTTGCACTGTGAAGAGTCAGGGTCATCACAGCGGCTACTTTTGCCACCCTCATCTTTCATGCTCACTGTTATGGATTGAATCGTGTCCCCCAAAATGTGTGTTAACTTGACTAGGCCATGATTCCCAGTATTGTATGGTAGTCCACCATTTTGTAATCTGATATGATTATCCTATGTGTTGTAAATCCTAACCTCTATGATGTTAATGAGTCAGGATTAGAAGCAGTTACATTAACAAGGCAGTACTCAATCTACAGGATTAGGTTGTATTTTGAGTCAATCTGTTTTGAGATATAAAAGAGAGAAGTGAGCAGAGAGAATAGGGAGCTCACACCACTAAGAAAGAAGCCCCAGGAGCAGAGTGTGTCCTTTGGACCCAGAGTCCCTGTGCTGAGAAGCTCTAGACTAGGGGAAGATTGATGACAAGGACATTCCCCCAGAGCCAACACAGAGAGAAAGCCTTTGCCTGGGAGCTGGCACCCTGAATTTGGACTTCGAGCCTCCAAAACTATGAGAGAATAAATTTCTGTTCACTAAAGCCATCCACTTGTGGTATTTCTGTTATGGCAGCACTGTATCACTAAGACACCCTCCAAATAGACAGGACTGAATGAATTAAGGGAGACCGTGGATGAGACCAATGATTTGGGTACTGTACTGAGAAATAATGAGAATAGAGAAGTTTATAATCATTCAGTTTGAGCTCACAAGGAAAGTAAATGATCTACCTGTTTGATACATATACTCCTTGCATATACCCCTTCACTGTCTTAGGCGTCTCCCCTGATTCAGTGCTGGTGAATGGAGGAGGAAGCCAGCCTGAGCCAGAAGACTGAGACAATGAATGCCAAGGAATAAATTCACCTGAAGAGAATAAAAATGAGTTGTATCATCTTTAGGTGCCATTACTTGCAAGTGAATGATTACAGAATGTGCATTCATCTATAAGGATTTCTTTAATTTTTTCATCTAAAAGATTTTCTGCAGTAATCCTTAGAATATTCAATTTTACTCAAAAAACGTAATTAAGAAAGTATGATAACATTTCTTCATATAAGTAATGTTCTATATTTCCTGCACCTTAGGTTACTTTTAATAAAAGAATTGTATTATAAATTTTGACTCATTGCAGTAAATTGGTAATAACTGAGTTTATTTGGTACTGTCACTTTAACCAGGCACTATTGAGTCGACTCTGATTAATGAAGACTCGATGTGTGTCAGAGTAGAACTGGGCTGCATAGAGTTTTCAATGGCTGGTTTTTTAAAAGTAGATTGCCAGGTCTTTCTTCTGAGGCAGCTCTGAGTGGACTCAAACCTCCAATCTTTTGGTTAGCAGCCAAGCACATTAACTGTTTCCAACACCCAGAGATTCCCGTGCCATCATAACCACCCACATTTAGCATAGATGTTCAGCAAAAGATATAGGAACTGTTTTGGAAGCTCTCATTAACTGAGATAAATTAGCAGAATATTTTGTCCAAGTTCATATTTTCTTTCTTGATTATTTTATAGAGGTCTCATAAATATAAACAGCTGGCTTGCTTGTCCTTCCTTTGCAAACCTCTTATGGATATCAGCAAGACAAAAGTCTAATATATTAATGGTTTTAAACGTCAGAAGAGCAGTTGCCTGGCTATAGAGCACTCTGAGAAAATTCAACTGAACTCCAACCTACCACATGAGCCCCATCTCACCTCCGAGGCCTTGCTTGTTTCTGAAACAGCTCATGGGATCTTTATATACCAGCGTGGTCCTTTCCAAGGGATCGAATTTGTTTTGAGATATTTCCTGTTTCGAGGAGCCTCTAGGAGCCTAATTCATATCTAGAATTCAGAGAACATAGAGACCAAATAATTGAGGGGGGAGTTAGAAAACACTATTATTTTTACCTTGGATTCTTCTGATTCAAATCCAATTGCCTTTATGCATGCCTCCTTCTTCTTCATTAGATCTGACTTATTTTAGGAATCCCAAAGGTTTGTAACAGGCCGAGACTAGATCCTCAATCTAGACTCACAGAGCATAACAGTACTTTTAGAACACACAAACACTGTGAGTGGGAGTATGAGAATGCAAACATCAAGTGTATTACTTGGGGACTAGCATGTCTGCTTTAGGGATCATCTTCCAGAAAGGCAAATCAGTGCTTGCTTTGGCAGCACATATCTAAAACTGGAATGGTACAGAGAAGATTAGTATGGCCCCCATGTGAGGATGACAGAAAGGCAAGTAATAAACATTCTAAGTTGAGTTATTCAGAATGGCCTGAGGAGGGGCTTTGCATGTTGGGAAGGAATGAGAACTACTGTTGGGAAAGTATGTTTTGACTTATTGTAGGGTCTTGGGTGCTGTGATGGTTAAGATTGTGTGTCAACTTGGTTGGGCCATGATTCTCTGTGTTTTAATGTAATCACTCCCATGATTGAATATACTGTGAGTAGCCAATCAGATAAAAGGAAGTCTCCTTGGAGGTGTGGCCCGCATCTGTATATAAGCAGACATTCTGGCTTTTTGCTCCCTCTGGATCCGGCTGCTGCTTCCTGTCGTCTCATCTCGCGTTCTTGGGACTTGAGCTGTCAGCTTATCTGCCGAACCTGGGATTCGTCGATCTGCACAGCCTGTGAGCGGGAGCCCTGCTCTCTGACCTGCCGATCTTGGGCTTGCCAGCTTCTGTAGCTGTGTGACTTGGGAGAGGCCTCTACCCTGATCCACGGACTTGGGCTGTTCTAGCCTCGATATAATCTCTCTCTATGTGTATATTTATAAATTTTACTGGTTTTGCTTCTCTAGAGAACCCAGCCTAAGACAAGTGCCAAGCTAAATCTGATCTGTTTTATAAGAAATGGGAGATCAATTGAAGCTTTTTATCATGAACTAACAAAGAAAATGGTGTTAAGGCTGTTTAATCTTTTCATAGAGTGGATGAGAGATGGGAAATCTTAGCTGAAAACCAAGTCCAAGTAAATACCACAAAATCATCCAGGTGAAGGTAATATGGGCCTGATGTAGGCCAGGTGAATGTAATATTGAAAGGAGAGCAATAAATGCAGGGACCATTATGAAACAACTATTGGTGGCAACTAATTGCTGATAAGCACAGTGATGAGGGTAGATTTAAACTCTACCGTGAGATTTTGAGGAAGGGGAAACTAAGATAGCAAAAGTGGTACTGAAAAATATAGGCTAAGTTAGAGGGGTTCTGTTTTTAGAGTAAAATGCTGATTTAAGCAAATAACCCTCAGAAGGGTTTCACATTAAGAGGTTGTCAGATATTAACATACTGGGTTAGCTTTCTAATTACTCTCTGGTGTTGTCTGAGAAGTCACAGGTTAGACGGGGAAGAAGGATGAGTCAGAATTACAGACTATGCAAAATCTGATGATACTCTGAAGTCTCTAGGACCCTGAAAGGAAGCACCAAAATAGGATGTGGATGCAGAACGAGAGGTAGAAAATACTGGAAAACAAAGTACCTGCTTCACACTTGTGGCAAGCGAAACCTTGTCAACAGCATTTGGATGAAAGGGTTATACAGTGTATCTCTCAGGGTCTAGGCGGGAAAACGGGGTGGCCAGTGTGAATACTTCTAACAGATGGAATTTAATACTGGACACTGTTTACACAGCCAATGAAAGAGCCAAATAGACAAACGGGAAATGCTGAGCAAACCCAGAGCTTAGCAACAACTGGAAACCACCATACCCCTAGAGTGAGAGGAGCCCAGAGGAGGTGGTGTTACCAGAGCCCAGGGACTGCAGCTATGCAGAGGTTGCTGCAACCTCAGAACGAGGGGCTCTTTGATGGGAGCTGGAAGCACATAAGAGACTGAGTAGATGCTGACTGAAGATGTGACTGCAGGCAAAAAGAGAACTACCCTGGCTTCACCCTTACCCTGCCCTCCAATCATGAGCACTTCCCAATGGCCAAGTCTACCTAAACTCTAGAGGGCAAGGAAGCCTGTGAAATGTGGTTTTCTATGATGCAGACAAGAGCGGGGGTGGGGGGTGGTAGGGGACGGGGGCAGAGCGGGGGCGGACGAATCTGAGTCAGAAGGGGCACGTACAGCAAGCCCATCACAGATTACTTAATACAGAGCATTGTAAGGTTTTGAGAGCTACTTCCAGAGAAATTTTTAGAACAGAAACATAGATAAAATATTGGCATTTCTTTCTCCTCTGTCACTGGAATCCAAATGATATTGCAAATGGTATTGGAAGCAGAGTATTCAGTGGTTATCTAAAATTGGAGCACATCTGCCAGACTGGCCTTCAGTCCATGGTCCCCCCACCCCCTTTTTTTTTAACCTTGTAGACATCAACTTGTGTTTCTTATCTAGTTATCACAAAGCTGTGCATCTGCAAAAAATCATAGTTCTACCATTTTAAATAGAACAGATGAAAGTTTTCTATGAAGCAAGGAGAGTTTTTAAAAAATAATTGTGCTCCTCCCCTTCTGTTCTACTACTTTTAGTCTGCACTAATAGTTCAGAAGTAATTAGGACTGAACTTTATTTTGTATTCTGCAAATGATTTATGATTCTGTGACTGGAGAACAGAAACAGACTCCTATTTTTAGATGCTTTGCCTTTGATATTCTATAGGTCTTTTGAAAGTCACTTATTCTATCTAACTGTACTTAGTGAAATAGAAATAAAGGCTGGGGTACAAGGACAGGGAAAGGGCGGTATGAATAGAAGTACCATGGTGCCCAAAATAAAGAAATTATTGTTTCCTGTGTTATTTGCTCCAATTTCCCTTTCATAGCTCCATGGGACTGAGTCTAATGTTTAAGTCAAAATAACAACATGTAACATTTATTGGGAGGCCCTGGGTGGTGCAAACAGTTAATGTACTCGGCTACTAACCAAAAGGTTGGAGGTTCGAGCTCACCCAGAGTTTCCTTGAAAGAAAGCCCTGGCAATCTACTTCTGAAAAATCAGCCACTGAAAACTCTATGGAGCACAGTTCTACTCTGACATCCATGGGGCTACCATGAGTTGGAGTAGACTCAATGTCAACTGTTTTTTAACATTTATTGTGTACTCACAATTTGCCAGGTGAAGTTTTAAATGTTTTGCATGTATTATCTCATTTAACACTTAAAACAAACCTATAAGGGAGATACCCTTATGACCCCCACTTTATTGCTGACATAGGCCAAGGAGCAGAGGGGAATTTGTTCAAGGTCTTATCTATGGTACATGCTAGGGTCAGCATTTGAACCTTGCAGCTTCTCCCCAGAACTAACACTGAAATCACCATTGTACCTGGCCAACTCTCTCAGGTAGTCTCAGACACGGAGGACTATTAATGCACCCCACAGGCTTCACTGAGAGCAGAAGTACTGGTATCAAGGTGGGTGGGCTAGCAAGGCCCTTCTAAGGCTCTGATGGACAAATATGCTTGAATGTGCCAGCAATGTTGGGGAATGAGGAATCACGTGGTGTCCAAATGGGAGGCAGGGGAGAGAAGTGTTGAAGCACATGGAGTCTGATCAGTCTAATCTGGCTTCTAAGGCATTTTACTTAGATTTTGGGCATTAGTTACTTCATCTATAAAATGGGAATAATAAGAGTATCTACCTCATGAAGCAGTTTTAAAAATTATATAAAATAATATAAATTATTTGTCATATAGTAAGTACAGAATTCAATACATAGTTTTTGTTGTTATTGTCAAGTGGAGGATGGGATTAATTTGGGATCCAGATTATCTATTGACTATTTTACCACAATAAATCCTACTTAACTGATAAACACACTCCATCTTGTCATGTAGATGTCTAACAGTTAATGAGCCATTCCTAAGGCTAAAACTTTGAATTATTGGTTTATTTCTAAATTCTCTGCCCTTATTTAGAAGCAAGGTAAACAGGAATTTACTCTCCACTAAAGACTACATTCAGGTTTACAGAAACAGTAAATAGTCCTGCAGAGCTTTCACAACTTTCTCCAATATGACCCTAAAATATGTTCTAATCATATCCCATTTTTCTCCCCCTTTTGTGTTAAATTCCCAGAATATCCAAACTATGTAATGTCCCCCAGACTTGTCCCATGCTTCTGTCCCCTGGTCACATGTTCTTACTTTCCCTCTAGCTAGAAAATCACCTTCACCTCAACCTATCAAAATTTTCTTCTTTCTTAAGTCCATCTTACATTAATGTATTCCACAAAGGCTTTTATTATCTATTCAAATGAATGTGCTCTCTCTCTGATCTCTGAACTTTATAGCATTTGTGCGTACCTCATCTGTGACAGGTATCACTTACCACCTTGTATTATGTTTATGAACTCGCCATAGCCTTCCTTGTTAAGATATAAATGCAGGAGTTGATTTTATATCTGGGTAGTTCCTGGTTTTTTGCTTTTGTTAGTTGCCATCGAGTCTATCCTGACTCATGACGACCCTACGTGTGCAGAGTAGAACTGCTTTATAGGGTTTCCAGGGCTGTGAACTTCTGGAAGAAAATTGCCAGGCCTGTCTTCTGAGGATACACTGGGTGGGTTCAAATTGCCAGCCTTTCAGATGATAGTCAAGCACTTCATAGTTTGTGCCACCCAGGGCTCCTGGGCAATTTTTATTTTATTATACTTTAGATGAAGATTTACAGAACAAACTAGCTTCTCATTAAACAGTTAGTACACATACTGTTTTATGACATTGGTTAACAACCCCATGACATGTCAACACTTTCCCATCTCAAACCTGGGTTCTCTATTACCAGCTTTCCTGTCTCCTCCTGCCTTCTAGTCCTTGTCCCTAGGCTGGTGTGCCCCTTTAGCCTCGTTTTCTTTTATGGTCCTGTCTAATATTTGGCTGAAGGATGAACCTCAGGAGCGACTTCATTACTGAGCTAAAACGATGTCTGGGGGCCATATTCTTGGGGTTTCTCCAGTCTCTGTCAGGCCAGTAAGTCTGGTCTTTTTTTATGAGTTAGAATTGTGTTCTACTATTTCTCCAGCTCTGTCCAGTACCCTCTATTGTGAGTCTTGTCAGAGCAGTCAGTGGTGGTAGCCAGGCACCATCTAGTTGTACTGGACTTAGTCTGGTGGAGGCCGTGGTAGTTGTGGTCCATTAGTCCTTTGGACTAATCTTCCCCTTGTGTCTTTAATTTTCTTCATTCTC